AACATGACTCACAACGCTGCCAATCTGAGGGGCTCAAATGTCATGAGATCAGACTGCATAAACCAAAAAATAACTATGGAATTGCCACTTTAGCTTGCTTTTTGACTTTGTGGATGGAGGTTGTTCTTTTCCTTCAGCTTCCCTATTTGAGCTGGACTTTAGAGTCACCTTTCCTTCATCAGAGCATATCTCACCATTGAGCATGCTATCATAAGACCTGAGTACACTAAAACAAGTGTTCTTGTAATACAGAGCAGTGACTGCCCACAGCAACAACTCTCAGGTAGCTCTGTCCACTGCAGAAAGAAATCAGTGCAAGTCTAGACTGTGTCCTGAAGGACATGGAGTCTTGCAAGCACACGTTTCACAAACTGAACAAAAACGTCCATATAGAACACCAAAATTTTAGAAGAGGGCTTGGAAAAGGAATGAGGGACATTCCCTATCCTACTTCCTATTAAATCAGATGAGATAAATCAGATGTGATAAAGAGTGGTCAAAATGAAAGGAAACCAAATCATTAGTCATGACCAGTCACTTTTTGAATGTCAGTTCATAAACACATTAAAACCGAGTGAGAAAGCACCCACGTTCGCAGCCAAAGTTGTGGAGGAGGGTTTTGTGGTTGTGGTTTTTCTGGGTATCCACATGGCTAATTCACATCATATTTTTGTTGATTTTTTAATATTTATGTCCAGATGCCCCTGTAAGCTTCCAGATGTTTTTGCACAGACATCAAATATGTTTGCATAGCAATTACCAAAATAAAGTTTGAGGCATTTCAAAGGCCTGAGAATAAAAAAAGACAAAGTGGCTTTCACTTAAAAATTTAATTTAATCTTTTTCTGCTCTAATTTTTATTTTATTTTTACTATTTTCTCTTATTGTTGTTATTATTATTTCTTTATAAACAATTTGTCAGCTTACTAACCAAAACTGGAACCCAATCTATCTACTCTGAGTGTCCTGTTTAAGTGTGGCCTCTGAAAATTTTAGGTTTCTGTTGTCAGATGACTCCTACATTTTCTAGCAAGAAGATTAATTATTTTTATAAATAACTAAATACCTTCACAGGTGATCTATCTGTATAATATAATCATCAATTCAATCTTCACTCTGTTCCTGAGGTTTAAGCCAGAAACATTCCTCTGCAAAAGAGAAGAGACTGAAAGAGCAGGAGCTACAGTGTGCCTGCTGAAGTCCTGAAGCAGTGGGCTCTGCCTTCCTGCCATGGTCCTTCAGGAAGCTTCACAGACACCCCTGGGGAAGGAGGTGGAAGTGAGCTGCCTGTTCATCGCTGCTTTCACTGCACCACAGGTCTGGCTCACAGGAAGACCTTGCTGCCCCAGAGCAACTGGTTCCAATAATAGATATGCGACTAAAACAGAGCCATCACAGTAAATTCAGGCTAATTAGGAAATTATCTAACACTTGCAAGTGTCTGCAGGGAAACGACTCCTACAAAGTCAGTGCTGGACAGCAGACAAGGATTCTAGATGATATGCAGACTGCATGGGTTGAAGTTAGGTGGGCTTAAATTCTTCAAGTTACATGTTCTGGCAACTATAAAGCAACATCATGCTTCCATGTGTTTCTGTATTTTGTTGGGGAAAAAACTCCAAACACCTAAAACCAAATGTAATCTAAGTGCCAAGTGTGGAGGAAAAGAAACAAAACCTATCTTAATGCTGGTAATTATACCATATGCTAGAACAACACAGTGAAAAAAAAGACCTGTGTTCCTGTAGAGTGAGAAGATATCACAGGAGGTGATTTGTTTAGCACCGATGCTCAAAGTGACAGTCCAGCTGCCAAGTTCAGTGGCTTCTGTGAGAGAAAACAGGCAGTCTTCTTGTTTATGTGCTGAGTGTTAACTGTAGTACATATTTTGGTCCCTAAAACAGTCAACAAGAGTTTTGCCAGTGAGTTCATTTGAGCAAGGCTTTTTCCTTTGGCCAGCAGCAGCAGCAGCAGCAGCTTCACTGCTCGTGGGGACTGGTGTGTCCCTGGATTTGCCCACACAGCTGCACAGAGACAGAGGTGGGTGGCAAACATATTTGTATGAGTTATATTTGTATTTAGTCAGCTACAAGTGAAATTACACCATAATGTATTTAGTAAATAATTTTTCACTGAGAAACAAATATTAAAGTGTGTGAATATTTGTCAATATTTTCTGTTAATTGACTAAGGATTGAAATCATATATCTACATCCCAGACAGCAGTATGAGGTGGAGATAGCCAACCACTCTAAACTGGCTTAGATACCAGAAGAAATGTGTCTACAGCAGCATTATTTCAAACTCCCACTCAGTTGGAGCTAGCTCAGGGATCTCCTTCCATTACCTTGTAACCTGCAGTATATTCTAATGCTATGACATGGAGAGAAATTTCAGAGAGCAAACAGCTGGGAAACCATAAGATAAATTTTAAGTTATTTTTCAGAAAAATATATCAGAACTTGCTGGAGCAATTATTTCCTATGCACATCTTTCCTAGTCTCAGTTCACCTCTTTAGTTGAAAAATTATGTTAAAAAGAAAAAGAAAAAGGATTAATCTGATTAGCATCAGGAAATCCATGCAGACATTATTCCGCATTGCTACTATCAAATGTCTTCTTAAGTCCATAAAATCAAACACAAAAACCTCTAAATGCAATCTGTGACCTTTAAAAGGCAAAACAAAACAAAACCACATCTTCAAGCTGTGGGTCAGGTGTTCAGCTGTTGAGAAACACTGTGGTTTCCTTGAGCCCACTGAAGCAAAGTTCCCACATAGCAACAACAAAAAACTGTAATGAGTTGCACCAGTTATAGTATTCACTGAAACAAAGGGAACTCCTCACAAGCCTTCCTGGAGTTGGTGATTCTCAGGCAATTCATGTGTCTTACCTAAATGATCTACCCCCAGAATTTATGGATTTCATCTTACAAACACAGCGAGCCCTGGAAGCTGCACTTACTGTAGCTATTGCCAACACTGACCATGAAACTCCATTTTGTGATTCTCAGCAGCAGAACCAACTATTTACCTTTTGTTGCTTGGCACTTGCTAATGATTCATCCAGTGTCAAGAGAACATTTTTTCCGATAGCACTGGCTTGAAGCACTTTGGTCTCTAGTTATTACAATTACTTTTTTATCTTTCCTTGTAACAGGCTTTGATCACTGTCAGGGACTGATTAATGAGCAAGATGGACATGAGATGTCCTCTGGGAAAGCATTTCTTATGATTCGTTTACAGTGGTGACATCTGTTTGCATCCTACTTTAAGGGCCCATTTCATCATCCAGTAGTGGCCAAGAGGCATGTCCCTGGAAATCTATATTTGTCATATGGGAAGCAAGACAAAACTTTACCTAGTCAGACTGCTGAGGTAAGTGATGGAGCTTAATCGTGAACAGGGTGGTACAGCTGGGTTGACAGTTGCACTAGATGATCTTAAAGGTCTTGTCAAACTTGACAAATCTATTATTCTATTTATGAGTGCTGTCGGCTTTGGTCTTGCCCAGTGCTCTCAACTTATCATGGCAAGCACTTTGACCAAGGCTCAGAATGAAGGGCATATGCACATGCCAAAAGCCTACAAACTCATGTGAGTCGTTCATTTAGTAACTTTCCTTCCTTTTTTTTATAGTGTTTTTGATAACAAAGAGTGTTTAGCCATGAAAAGTAAGTTTCACTATAACATAGTAACCACAGCATTAAAATGACTGAAGCTCCTTAAAATAAAGGACACCAAGGAGGTGTGGGGTCACCTGTAGCTGTGCACCAAAATTACCCTAGTTCTTCCCCCACTTTGCCACTTCTAGTCAGGCAGGAGGTCATAAAAGAGGCCAAGGTGTACATGATCTGGTAGGATAAAGCTGCCTGCACAGTCACATAAAGAAGGGAGCCTGATCTCTAGGCTGCAGTTGATAATCACGTTTCTTTTAACCAGGAGTCTGTCCTGGTATGACAGCATCAGGGACTTTCTTCTGTGCCATGACCCTCAGGAGCCTTTCACCCATGTCAAGCCCTGGCAGTACAGCTCAGGAGAGGGATCAGCAGAGTTCTGTGCAAACACTGGATGTGTAGCCCAGGGTACAGCAGGTCAAGGAGGAAGGGCTGTGCAGCCCTCTGTTACAGCCCTGAATGGTTTATCTCTTATTTTCTTACAGGTCTAAAAAGGTATTTTAAGACTGTCAAACAGGAAAAAAAAAAAAGGATAAAAAATAACTCTAATTGCAAATAGTGGCAAAAAACCTGCGCTGTTCAGTCAGCCTTTTTCTACCAGATAGTAGCTTAACTGTCTGTTTTTAAAAACTATTGCCTTGCCCTGTTAGATTCAATATCTTTCACATGATTAATGTGCTAGTGTCTTATTAACTGCTGTGTTAGAGGAGCTTCTGTAGTCACCACCACCCACCTTCTTTCACTCCTTTTGTAAAAACCTCAGTGCAATCCAGCTGCTCTGACTGGAGGGTACTGCACCTTCCGACAAAACATCATAAAGAGCAAAGAATTACCATTTCCAAGTAATCCATCCCATAAATCAACCCTCACATTTTGTTCTGAGGATGGGTGAGAGACTCTGTGAGTTCTCTGTTCACATTCACATGACTGTCTGTCTTCAGAAAAAAAGAATAAGGAAAAAAGGGGTATGGGGGAGAAATCAGAAATTGCTAAATCATTCCAGCATCTGATTGATCTTATCTGGACATCCCTGGCTGCAACAATAATTTGAGACTGTTGAAAATTGACACCTTATCTGATTGGTGGTCTTACCAGCTGCTATTTTATCGGGGTCCAGCTGGATGAGAAAATCAGGACGTGGCATGACCTTGGTATCTCAGTGCCTGACCTCAATATCTAATCAGTCGGATGTCTCTCTGAGGCTGCCTTGGGATGCTGTGCATGTCCCTTCTGGCACCAATCCATTCAAAAGACGTTTGCTTCACACCAGAATTAGCCCCCAGCACATACACATAAAGCACCTCCCAGCACATCACTGCCTTACCTGATGATGCTGCAGCACCTGAGGTTTAAGACGCTTTTCCGCAAAGCTTTGGTAGCCTTTTTCTCAAAAAGCTTAGTTTGCAGGACTGCACGCAGTCAGAAACATGTCAGGATTCTGCCGGCACGGCAGCTAAGGCAAAGCAAGTCCTCCACACTCATTTCATTGTCTTTTTGTGAGCTGTACAGTAACGTCCATCAGCGCAGGGAATAGCACTGGCAGAACGGTGCACCACAGACACTGCCACATGCGTTGTAATAGGGAGAAACTGAGTCTTGCTTCAGACTGGAAATTGAAGGGAAAGGTTTTTACCCTAGCTATAATTAGCTGTATATCTGGGGAAGGCATTCCACACCTCTGTGCTCAGAACAAGACAGAATTTCACTTGTGAGGATCCCACCAAGGCAAGGTTATTACGTCTGTTAACCCCAGGACTCTCCCTCAATGCCGAAGAGAAGAAATTCTCCTTCCATTCCATTGGTGGAGCAGGGTTTCTGCACAGCAGCTGTGATCCTCTACCCATACGAACAGACCTTCACCAACCCTTCTCTTCCTTTTCTCCTTGCTGTCTCTGCAGAAGAGCCTCCAACCTGGCAAGATCCTGCAGGAAGATATATTCTCTGCGGCAGGTCCCTGTGACATGGTCACTTCCTGTCCTAACTTCTTGATCTTCCACAGTGGTGGATGCTGCCTGTGAAATTACCTCTCAAAACAGCAGTCATTGCTCTGTGCTGCCCTGTTAAACATGTGTAGTATGAACAGCATGTTGGGGGAAAAATCTGGGCTTAATCCACCTGAGGCATCATAGACCAACAAGGGAAAAAGTTGCAATAAGGGAAACCTGGAGCACAGAAAAATTAACCATCCAAGGAAAATCACGATGCTCTAGCATGTCATTTTTAAAAAAGAAGATTAATAATTTCTCCTTCAATGTATGGCTTTTAGATCCTTTATATGTGTACATTTATTATACAGTATTTTTTAAAAAGGTCGAAATTAGAATAAAAGATTTTGATTCTCTTAAGCCTTTGGTATGACCCTATTTTTTTCCCCCTGGAAATTACTATGGGTTTCTTTGTTCCTGTACCATTTAACAGAATTTAATGTGGAATTTCTCATAAAACAGCAGCTTCCTTCCCAATTATCTCCATCTATCACTTCTGTTGCATGTTAACAGGAGTCTTGGATATGGTCTTTTCACATCAGTACAATGCACAAACCCTGGTGTTTCTGCACACAGGAAATGTAAGAAAAAGGTGTCCGTTTTATACCAAAAGAAGTCTCTCACAAGCTCTTGCTCTGGGGGTAAATTTCCCTGTGCAGTGAGTAGGGATTATAGCAGGAGAGTCCATCAGGCAAAATAAAGGAGAAGAGCATTCTTTGGCCAAGTCTTGGTTAGCTGTTGCTGTTCCAAAGTGCCAGAACATTGCAATCCATTATGTCCATGGCAGTCTTTGAATTTAAAGTTCAGAAACCTATGCAAGTCCTTGCAGGAGGTGCAAAGTTTATTTTTAATGCTGCTATATTTTTTTCCCTTGTCTGAAGAAGAAGATTATCATGATGATAAGAATTTCCTATACAATTTTTTTTTTTCCATTTGGCCTTTATTTCCACTGTGGCTGAGCAATCATAGGGTTCGCTGTCTCCTAAAGCCAGATTTAAATGCCTTTAAGGTAGAACAGTTGCAAAATAATCATTACTTTATTTTGACAAATATAGAATATTTAGTGTGTTTGGAGTCTGGTTGTTTACTAAAAGAAGCAGAGTGTGACAATACTTGTGGCTTGCAACAGCAATCTTATCAATCAGGGCTGCCTGTTGTCCCCTGACTGCACACAGACCATAACCCTGGACAACATTCCTGCACCCGTGAGGACCTTGCAGCAAATTCCAGTCCAAATAAAGCTACAGAGCAGACAAGCAATTCCACCTCAACACAAACAGAAGCATATGCGCAAAAATGTCCCCATATCAGGACCTAGATAATAAACCCAAGGATGCAGCCAAGTGCATCTTACTTGACTGACAATATGCAACAGATTGCCTTAGTGTGTTCTTTAGGAGAAGCAAAACATACAATTAAATAAACTTGTTCTCGAAAGCAACCCCACCCCCCCACCCCCAAGATAGATGTCAAGCTCTGACTAGATAAATGTGGTATTTCAGGTGGAAAATTGAATGGACTTAACAGGAGTAATATGAACAGTTGGTCTTGGAAGAGCTTATAGACTGTAAATATTGCTCACTGCTGATGCTAACACAATGATGAATGTATCAAAATATTAGTATCAAAAGACTGCTGGAATAGATTTGCAATGTTGTGGAAAGCATGAAGGGAGGTAGCTGTCCTTCCCATAGCTTTATTATATTAATCTGGGTACCGGCTGATAGCAGGGGCCATGAGCACTATAATTAGATTTTGGAAATGTATATAGGGAGGAGGAAATGGAATAATTAAGGTAAGCTATCAGATGCCTGTCCTCATCCTTTTTAAACAAGCCAGAAATATACCCTGAACTCGTTCAGCATGCAACCTTCAAGGGGAAAGGTGTCAGACACTGTAATTGGTAGAACTTGAATGCTGCTGTACTGGCGTCCCTTTTTTAAGGAAACCTATTTTCCACACCAAAATTGATCCGGCAAGGTTGTTATCTCATAATGCACACCTAGAGAGGTACTATGAGGCCTGAGGGTAGGAAATAGCAGGATACTTCACAGGCTCTGTGCTGCACTCTCTCTGGGGAAACTCACTGCTGAGGCAACATGCTACATGGTGAAATTATAGGTATAGGTATGTGGAGAGTTTGGGATTTCCTTAAAAATGCATGGATGAGGCATAAAAAGTGCTAATGGATCTGGCTGGGTCTGACAGCTGAACCAGGTGAGCATTTCCTCTCCCTTCTGGGGTGCTGCTAGGTGAGAAAGTGCCTGAAGGGCACACTGACTTTTATTTAATTATCCTACCCTCCCTAAACAACAGAGAAAAGCCAAGGAACCTCAACAAATACAAAAAAAGAGAATAATTTTGGTGTGGAAAATTATTTGACATTATTCTTAAATATTTAAAGGACACTGCCTGCTGGTTTGGAAATCCAGTGAATAATTTAATACCGTTTGACAGAATCTCTTTGGGTCAATTATTCAGTAAGTGGATTAATATATTCTGACTAAAACAAAGCACATTACATTTTGGCGGGCATATCACATTACATCACATATTCCATGTCACATTGCATTGCAGAGGATGCCAGCATGAAAAAATGGGGCAACTTGCATTAGACAATGCAATCAGAATAATTTCCAAATATTTTTCCAAACCTTTCTGTTCCTCACTGTTTCTCTACCTGATCTATCTATATTTCTCTGTTGAAGAAGGGAATTAAGCAAGAGATCTGATCAACTTATTTTTAAAAAATCTCATTGGAAACTGCCAGCAACCCTTGACCTCATTATAACCCTAAGTATCTTATCTATACCAAACACTTTAATTTTAGAATAGCATCTTTAAAGCCTCAGGGGGAGAGAGAGAGCATCTCTTGATGCTTGACAGCAATTCTCTAACACTGACATGGTCCAAAACAGATATTCTTATCAAATCATTGTGAGGAAAGTAGCTGTAATATAGGATCTCAAGGGCAGTGGAGATACAATATAGGTTAAAAAAAGAAAGACCCTTGGGATTTTGAGAGATAAGGCTTCAGAGGCAACAACTGTCTCACACCAGGGAGGGTTTTATAGATAAAATTGGAGTGGAGGGTCCTGCTTATGTTTCAAATCACCAACAGGCATACCTCCCTCTCCTGTACTTCCACTTCTCATTCTTCCACAAAAATGCTCTGAAGAAAGAGGTGGGACTTTATTTCCAAAATCGCATAGTGCTAGGTGTGAATGACATTTATTTTAGTAAAGGTAATTAAAAATTGGAATTTTTATTTTGTGGGGAATTCTCATATTATTCATTATTCCTTCAAGTAGAATGAGGATAAAAAATCAAAAATTTCATACCTTTACTGTGAAATAGAATATTCCAAAAGCATTTCTATAGCTATGCATTTTTTATAATTGTAGTATGAATATTGCAACATGGTGTAAAACCCAAAACTGTGCTGCAGAGGACAAATCCTCAACTTTGTGGGAGTGATCTAAGTATAACATGGTATTTACTTCATTAAAGTGAGGTATTTCTGAAAAAAAGGTTTCCATTTCCTGCAGTCGGCATGTTCTGACCAAATCCCTTTACCAGCTCAAAATCCTAAAGACAGATATGCAAATATGCATATCTGAAGGTCTGAGTAAAATCAGAATAAATATCATTACAAAAATAAAAAGATACCTGTTCCTCTGCTCTCACAGGTGCATTCAGCAAAATCTACTACTTAGAAAGGCTTGCATGGCACTTGGCATTTCCCAGCTGCTTTAGAAGAGCAAAGGGCACATCTAGGGAAAAAAAAAAATATGAGTTTTCTTCTAAACATATCCTTAGGGTGACTCAACAGGAATTTTTCTTACTATATTTATGAATGGGAGCAGGGATGCGGTCAGGAAAAAGCCCCAGAAAAGCTTGTAAGATTAATTGTGAGGAGTCCGTGGTCCCCAGCACTAAATGTCACCACGCTCATATGCATCTTTGCCAGACAATCTAAACAATAAATTCTCCAGAGAAGGATGGGAATCTGTCTTCTTCTGGTCTCCAACATGAGGCCAGAAGTCCTTCCTGCAGTCCCATTGCCTGAAACTGCTAAGGCTACAAGCAAATTGGCCTTCTCACATTCTGCAGGATCATGTAAAGAGAGGGTCAAAGACCATTCAAGAGAAAACAAACAAAAAAAAAAAATTCAAACCAACCCTCAATGCCCAAACAAGCTGGGATGGGAAAATGGTCAGGTTTTTAGTCTAGTTCAGTTTTCTTACCCAATTCTTTGTGGTTTTTGTTAGGGGTCACAGTACAGCACAGCGATGATTCCTGCTGGTCATTTTGAATATCCAAAATTGTTTTTCCCATTCTACTAATTGGGAAATGGCAGCAAAGGGAAAATCATCATTCTGAGAGCTTAGGGGTTAGTGTCACAAACCTACACAGAGGTTCCAGCTTTAGCTGGAAGGTTTGAGGTTGGAGTGGCTGACATGAAGCCCTCAGATCTGCACTGACAGATAGCAGTGCTTCCACAAACAAACTTCCACATTTCAGACACCCCCGAAGGAGATCCTTTGCAGCAAGGTAACTAGCACTGATGAAAAGATAAAGCCTGAGTTCTCCTTCAGACTATTCAGTAACAAACATTAATATTGAAAACCCCATAACCACCTAAAAATGCAGAACATCAAGGCCTCCTATCCTTGACTTTTATGCACATAACTTCACTCCGAGTCAGCCTCATTAAGCCTAGCTGAATAATTTGAATTCTCAAGTGTTTGGAGGGTTGAGAATTGAATAAACATAGCAGAAAGCTCACACATCCCCCTTACATTTTTCAAACATGCACTTCCAAAGAGATGTTGCAAGAAATATATTAAAGACAATGGTTCAATAGACTGAGATGAGAAAACATGTGCTACCAGGAACCTCGCCTGATGTATGGGGGTATTAAAGGACAGGGAAATACAGTTGAACTAATTTCTAAATTCTAAAAACTTTTCTAAATTCTATCATATCACACTGAAAGGAGACAGAAATTTATTACACAGAGGGTTAAAACATACATGCATACATGTACACACATACATGCACACAGATATATTTACCTTGAATGGCTCCTGTAGGCAGAGGCAGAAAATCCTGACTCATGGAAGGACAGAGGCTGGGGTGGGTAAGGGATGTGGGACTGGGGGAGCTTTGGGGGCTCGTTCTGGATCTGCAGTACTGTTCAGGGGCATTTTAGGCAGGGCAGAAGGTACAAGGATCACTGGCTGCAGCACAAGACAGCCTGAAACAGGATGGTCTGGGCTCTGCCCCAACGGGAATGTTCTAACATAGGAAAGGAAAGCACTACCAAGAAATTAAAAAAAAAAAAAAAAAAAAAAAAAAAAGATTAAAAATATATATATGCAGAAATTTTTTCAGAGTTTTTGGAAACCTCACAGGTTTCTATTATTTTAGAAACACAGACACTCTCCAACCATTTCACACAGGCATCAGAGTCTTTTTGCAAAGACATGAGAGACAGAGGGAGAAGGAAGGGTCAGAATCAAAAATGAAAGTGATCAGATTAGATGTCCAGAAAGAGCTGTTTAAAATGCCAGCTATGGCTGATGGTGTTAGTTTTTTAAATTATCTTTTTAGGATTTATTACTTTTAAAATCTCTGAAAGAAGACACAGAGATGAGGTCAATTTCAGTTTGAATTTCAGTGGTGCAGAGAAAGAAAGCAGTGACTAGATCCAGCCTCTTGGAGAGCACAAGGAAATGGTCTCTCTACTAATGTGTGCTTTAGACTCTCATCTTCAATTTCAGCTGCAGAACATCAGTTAGAAAGAGTTGCTGTCCTGACAAAGGGTATATCAGTTCTGCAGAAAATTATTAAGTATTTGGTTTTTCTTCAGTATATCTGATTTTTTTTAATCATTAAATTTTCCAGATAGAGAAGTGAGTAATTTCTAAATAAGTGAATAATTTCTATAGTCCTAATTTGGGAAACTATCTGAGTGCTTTCTCAAATAAGGGGTGGATTTGAAGCAC